TCCTTTACTACTTGTGACCTTGCATAATGGTTGTGAATTCATGTTCAATATTGCCTTTTGTTTCCCTCTTTCCTTCATTTCTTATCCATGTTTCCTCAAGATATGGGTTGTGGGCTGTAATGGCGATTGTAAAAGCAAAAATTTTGAGTTTCCACTCTGGTGTCTTAGTCCTAACATTTGCATGTATAAATTAGGGTCCACAACTTTAAACACGACTACTTAATTTAATACGTAATTGATACGAAATAATGAGTATGAATATGTCCTTAACAGATTTAGATTATAATGGGGTTGATATATCAAACCAATTTTAAAAATGTGTTATACAGTACGAATTTGACTATAAAATAAGCCATGCATGAATTGAAAATTTCTTAACACGACACAACTTGGACACAATTCGAAGCCAGTATTACATGACTGATTGATAACCCCCATGCATAGCCAAACATTCTTTGAATTGCCCTACAAATCAATTCGGTGAAATAATACAATTGAAAATTCTGAGACCCAAGAAAAAGAAATGGACTTTCACACTTCTAACCATAGATAGATGTCCAAGTGATAGCTTTCCTGTTAACTTTGGTTGCGTGTGTTTTGTTAAAATTTTTTGATGGACCTTCTTATCCAACTATCTCATTCATTTTGTAAATTTTTTAATAATTACTTTTTTAGGAAGAATAGCATTTTCACTACACCCTCGGCCTGGTCCATTGGCCCAGCCCTAGGGTTTTTGGATGGCTCACCCAGGTCATTGACCAATCAAAGGCCTGGCCCATTACTGAGGCTTACACGGGCTTTTTGGAAAGAGATTGACGAACTATCTTCGGCCTAATTTTTTTTGTATGGAAACCATAATATTCCAGCTTTGTCGAAGAGAAATTAAGACCCTCAAGCTAATTTGTAACATGCAAAATGTGGCAAAGGATGAAATGGTTAGGATTTTTTGGACCACAAGTTTTAATTATTAATATGTGAGATCCCAAATTCAAAGTTTTCAAAAGCCTAATTTCAAGATATAAAACTTTCCTATTATAATAGGTTATTTAAAAGGAGTTCTTCCATCAAATATTCTGCTTTTTCCTATATATTAGGGTTCAAATATTCAGTGATTCGTTGTTTGCGTACTGATTTCATATAATTTAGAAAACACTAGTATTCTCGAAGGCTCTTATTCATATCTCATATTAAAAAGCGTTATTCAATAATATCTTTTTAATAGACCCTCTCCCTAACTTGAATAAACATTCAAATATTTACCCCATATTCATTCGTGAAGGTACTTGATTACATCCAATCCACCCAGAAGTTCAGAAAATATAATGACAATTACTAATCACAAAATCAATAGAGGATGAATGTTGATCATATGATACAAAAGTTTCTTTGATCCTCTTGTTGGAAATATAATGGTGTGGATTTCTACAATATGATAAAATTACTTATTATAAATTTTTGATAACATACAAAACTATTTATATAATAAACTATGAAACAATAACATACAAGAATAAATAGTAACGCGTAAAACTGTTATAAATAAAACTCATTCATTTGCAGATCAGGAACGGAGATTGAATTTTATAAATCAATGTTAGTGTTTGATACTATGTCTTTAAGAGTGATTTCACCCCCACACTGGTGCTTATGGAAATTTAAGAGTCTGTCTCATAAGATACAATGATTTTTACGCAAATGAAAGCAATAAACCAATTCAATTGCCCAGCGAACAAGAATAATGTTGTGTACACTCAAAAATACTATCTCTTAATCACGAAAGGTTAGGCGATTGACAAAAAGAGGCAACTAGAGAAAGAAATTGAAACCCTAGTCTAATATATATATTTTTTTATTTTTTTTATTTTCAGGTTGAGGTCTATAATCAGGTTGAGCCAGATTTAATAATTTTGGGTTGGGTTTGGGTTCAACCCGTAAACCCGACATCTCAACTCGAGCATTGCCCGAATTGAATTCAGGTTAAATTTTCTGGCCCAGGGTTAACCCAAAAAGTGAATATTGATGCTGAGTCCTCCTTAAGAGACTTATAATGAGTCTAGTCCGCTAAGGAAACTTATTTGAGAGTAAATTCATTTTTGATTTTACTAATAAGTAGTTAAGTCTACTATTTTTTAAAACTCCAAAATCCCCTCTAATGACTTAAAAGCAATTTTCAACAATAAATCAGTTTCTCAAACAGTTATCTTAACTCACACTTAATGGAAGAATTTTTTCATAAAATCTAATATTCAAATTTAATTTTGACATCACTACTCTCTCTCTCTCTCTCTCTCTCTCTCTCTCTCTCTCACGTATACGGTGACTTTTTTTTAGAAATCTTCACACCCAGATTATTTTTCGACCAAATACTTCAGTGGTCCCAAATGTTTTTTAACTTGTCTTTTCATATTCATCTCCCCTAACAATCTTTGCTACAATAACTTCGTACAAAGTCTAGTTGTCAATACTACAATCCCCATTACGACAACTATGATGATAAGGTTTGGAAGAAACATGATAATGAAGAAAGTTATATACATTTTTACAAAAGCATGAATCAACATATTCTGACTAGCCCACAAGTTCTCCACGCCATTGTCCAAAAATCTGATGCAAGGTTCACAGAAATTGATTTCATGTTATCTAGAAGTTCTTTATTTTCTAGATCCATGTTGTAGGGCTTGTTTCAGATCTCAATTAGAAATTATAGATTCCATTATTTTTTTTTGTGAGAAGACTATGGTTAATTTTATATTGAATATTACTATGCATGTTACTATTTTTTTTTCATGTTATTATTTTTTTTTTTGTGCATGTTACTACTTTTTTCTATGTTACTATTTTTTTGATAAGCATGTTATTGTTAATGTTGAATATTACTATTTTTTTCCAAAAATATTAATATTCAATGTTACGTTTTTTAGTTGACCATGTTATTGCTTTTATTTTTTTAAATAATAATATTCAAGAGTACTATTTTTTTATTTTTGAATAGTACTATTTTTTAATTTTTTTTGTATTTGAATGTTACTATTTTTTATTTTTAAATAGTCATATTATATATATGGATATAGATAGATATAAGAGAGAAAATTTTAATGTTAAAAAAACTCTAAAAACATAGGAGTTTTTAGTTTCTAAATTTGTTTTAATTAATATAACTAATGAGGGTATTTTGAAAAATTAAAATCAAACTGGATTGAATATTAAACAGTTTTCTTAATGGACTTGTCACTAAATAAGTCCATAAAGGGGAATCGGCATCCAAATTTGCTAATTTTAAACCTCAATCTAAACCCTGCTTTTTTTTCTTTGAATTGGGCTTAGGTTGGCTTGCCCTGCCCAAGCTGCACCCCTAATTTTTAAACTCATTTCCTAAATCTAAATACTTTTTTTGAAAGTGTTTTTAATAACGTCAACTCAATTGATAGTTTTAAAAATATAGCAAAGACCAAAAGAATCCTCCTTAAGTCACATAGAGCAAGAGTGAGACCGCGAGAGCAGAAAATTTTAAAAAAATCACAGAGTGGGAACGCCTTGAAAACTTTATAGTTTATTCTTACATACATAATTACATATATGGAAATTAAAAAAATATATAATTAAAAAGCTAAATTCTAATTTTTATACAATAAATAATTTAAATCAAAAAGCATTTCTTGTTAAAAAAAAAAATCAGAAAGATTTGAAAGGCATATTTTAGTGTGAGAGGTGATCCCACATCGGATAGGCAAGGAAACTTCCCACCAACACTTGCCTATAAGTGGAGGTGAGTGGTAGCTCTCATTAGCAAGAGTTGGCTTTCTGAGTTGGAAAACCAAATGATATGTGGGTACAGAATAGGAGAAGTTAGTTTAATATTTGGGATGGCCCAAGTTAGCATCTGGGCTTCTAACTTTAAGTAATAGTTTAAATAGTTAATTGACGAATTTTATTTTTGGATTTACAAATTCAACAAAATAAGAGCATGAATTTGTAGTGAATTGCCTTCCGAAACTTTGAGGATTTTTATTTTTTGATCTTAACTTCAATGGTTTGTAGATTACTTTTTTTTCTTTGAGGTCTAGGGATTTTGCATCCTGAACACGTCATTTGGAGTGCTTTTTTCCCAAAAAGTACTTGGATTAGGGAAATGAGTTTGAAACAACATAGGATTTGGGAAGAAAAGTTTTGGGAGGCATAAGATCCTTAATAAACTCTGGTTTTATGTGCATTTTCTGAAAAAGGTGAATATACACATTTATTTAGGGTAGAAAGCACGTATAACATATGTATTTTCTCGGCTAGATAGGTACCCATAAATCTAATCATAATGCCATTAGTAAAAAACATTCAAATATTTTTTATAATATTTTTTCAAAATAAGGCTTAGGCTATTAAGACAATATTACTCCCATGAAATAGAAAATGGCCTAATGACAAGGTTGACGACAGAAGCTCGGGATGGTGCCATATATACGGAAGCCCCACTTATGATTCCATGAGAAAGGACTGACTACCTATAGGAGCTTTGATCGACCAGCACAGGTCAATTCCGCTTTGATGCTATTCCTTACTCTACCATTATTATAGGTGTATGGGGTTCGAGGCAAAGAAAGATTCAGGCTGCATATCATTGGAAAGATAAGGGTGGCCTAGGCCCAATCCAACCAAAGAAATGCACCCACCATGGACTGGCCAAGTGAGATAAGCTAGTCTATAAGCCCTTGGGCATAGCATGGTCCAACTCAAACAGGCCACTGGCTATCTGCATTTATGTGACAGAATTGTCTATTCTATTGCTCTTTCCATTGTTTGAAAATTTCATAAAGACTTTCTCAAAGAAATTTCCTCCTCGTGATAAGTGTAAGTCAAACTGCCCTATTCTTCAAATATGAACACTAGAAAGCAATAATGCACAACCACTTTATTGACAGAGATGGTTATGTTTGCCCTGAAGCCAAGGCAAGAATTTGTTATATAAAAACAACAATTTCATAACTTTTTTTCTCATTGTTGGCATCATGGTGTTTCCTTACAGAGATATTGTCTCCAAGGCCTTAGTGGTAGTAATTACTAGCCTCTGGTTGCTCAGTCTAAGTACTGAAGCTGCTGCTCCAGAATACCTCTATCATATTTGTGGCTCTAACACAACCATTTACTCTCCTAATAGCACCTTTAAATCCAATCTCAATCTCCTCCTCTCTAATCTTTCTTCTAACAATACACCCAACAACTTGTTTTATAATACAACTGCTGGAAGTGGTCCTCCAGGTGCGGCTTATGGCCTGTTTCTCTGTCGAGGCGATGTTACCATTAATGTCTGCCATGATTGTGTGTTGAATGCCAGTCAAGAGATAATCCAGAGATGTCCCAAGGAGAAAGTAGCCTATATTTGGTATGATCAGTGCATGCTACGTTATGATAACAGGTCTTTTTTCGGGACAATGGATGAATCACCTAAGGTGTATATGTGGAATGAGCAGAATATCACAGAACCTGATCGGTTTGCACAATTGCTAGGAGATACTATGGATAAATTAGCAAATCGGGCTTCAAGCGATCGATCTTTAAATGATCAATATGTCAACAGGTTTGCAACTGAAGATGTTAATTTTACAAGACTTCAGAGACTATACAGTCTAGTGCAGTGCACACCAGATTTATCCGCAACTGATTGTAATCGGTGTCTTCGAGTGGCTATAGGTGATCTGCCAAACTGTTGCAATGGAAAGAAAGGCGGGAGAGTTTTGCAGCCAAGTTGTAATATTAGATACGAGACGTACCCATTCTATGAAATCAAAGCCACAGCTCCATCACCTTCACCGACGCCTCCTCCTGCTCCTCCTCTTCCAATTTCCTTGACAAACCCTCGAGGTAAAACTTCAAAGCACAAGCCTAAATGTGTGAATTATCGAGTACATGTTATAGAATTCTTCTTTCGTGGTACATATAGTAGATTGCATATCATGTTATTTTATCCCCTAAAAGGTTGGGATAAAGCTTTAATTTGTTGATTTTTTTTGGGTCTTAATAGTTAGACTGTCAAAGGCATGGACCAACTAAATGGTATTCTCATAGCACTTGGAGTTATGAATTTTCAATTTATGGGGAAGTAAGGGATCCTTGGTTGGGGAGAAAATCACCCTGATTCATGGATCTATCAACTCGAGAAATCATGACAAGATAAAGTTTTGTTGAGTTGAGTCAAGTGAAATGAAAGTTGCTCTATGGTTTTTCACCTGCAACTATTAAGCCGATGTGACAATTTATTATTGATGGTTATTACCAAATTGTTATTGTGTATGTCAATGTAACCTATTTTTGATTTCGCAGGTAAAGGGAAACTCTCATCAGAAATAATTATTGCCATTGTAGTCCCAGTAGGTCTGTCTGTGGTTCTTTTTGCCATAGGTTTTTGCCTCCTAAGTAGGAAACCAAGGAGAAAGTACAATGTTGTAGAAGAAGAAAATGGTAAGGATAAAAGACATCATTTTATCCTCAAATTGTATTGCTTCATGCTATTACCTTTACAGTAGTGTCGTTCACAAACTTCAACAATTTTATTGTCTGGTTGTGTAGTTGGGGATGAAATTACAATATTGCAGTCCTTACAATTTGATCTGAGCACAATTGAAGTTGCCACAAACAACTTCTCTTCTGATAACAAGATAGGTGAAGGTGGATTCGGTCCGGTCTACAAGGTAAGTAGTCAGAAGCATCTAACTATGGTAGAAATCTGACTAATTCAACGATTTCAAAAGCTCTAGAAGTTGGGATACATAAATGCATGAACATAGTTTACTTAGTTAACTCAACTCACAAAGCCTTCATCCCAACTATTTGGGTTTGGGGTCAATTTGTGTTTCTCTACTGTTCTTTTGAATATTTTAATTAGTTGTAACTCCCATTTGCATATGGCAGGGTATCCTTGCTGATGGACAAGAAATAGCAGTGAAGAGGCTATCCAAAACCTCTAGTCAAGGTGCCGCAGAATTTAATAACGAGGTTGTTTTGGTGGCCAAACTTCAACATAGAAATCTTGTAAGGCTTCTGGGGTTCTGCCATGAAGGAGGGGAAACGATGCTCCTATATGAATATGTTCCCAACCATAGCCTTGACTGGTTTCTGTTCGGTTAGGCCCTCTCTAAACACACCCTTTGAATTCAGCTTCTTGATTGATGCTTTCTCTAATCTTCACAAGATGAACTTAAAATTCGAGACATCTTCAACACCCAAATCCTGTGAAAAGTATGCCATAAAAGTCTTAAGAACACTAAAAATTGCATTAAGATCAAATGCTGAAGAGGTAAGAGTATTGCAAGACTAGTAATAAACACTATACAATATTAAAGATCAAACTGATCTTATAATATTTATATTTTAAATAATAATTTGACTTTTTTAATTACGCAAAATAAAATTAAAACGAAGAGAGATGTAGATATGGATTGATAGATTTGTTTGACTTGGGGAGTGTATTGATTGGGTTGTTTTGCATTGGGAGTTGTGCAGAGAAGTTGATGAGTTGATTATTTAGGGAGGGAAAATTTTTTTAAGATAAATTTTATACCATTAAATCAAAGTAGATGAATGTTGGATAAATCTTGACTTTTGTTGTATTTTTATAAGTTGATAATTTAACTTCGTAGCTATAACATTAGATAAATATAGTGTTTTTGAAGAAGTTGCACCATCTATTTTGCTTGAATTATTTCATTGCCTGTTTAAATCTAGCTCCTTGTGTTTTAATTTTATGAAAATAGATCAGGAAAAGCAAGGACAGTTGGATTGGTCACAACGTTACAATATTATAGGAGGGATCGCCCGGGGAATTCTTTATTTACACGAAGATTCTCGACTTAGAATTATACATCGCGACCTCAAAGCTAGCAATGTACTATTAGATGGGGATATGAATCCAAAGATTTCAGATTTTGGCATGGCGAAAACATTTGGTGTGGATCAATCTCAAGGAAATACTAGCAGAATCGTTGGAACATAGTATGTTTCTCAACACTCAGTCTTCTTCTTTAGAATTTATCTATATCAACAATTAGCTATTGCTTCATCCCAATTATCCAAATTCTACAAGAAAAAAATAGAAAACAAAAAGGTCATTTGGATTCTTCAAAATTACAACTTTTTTTTTTGGTAAGTAAAATTGCAACTTAAAGCTTCTATGGTGATTTTAATTTTGTTTTGTTTTTTTCAATTATGAGAGGTGTTTCAGTTAGCTTACACATATATTGACTAATATCCTCCCTAGTCTGGTAAATGGCAAGTCATTCACGCCAAAACTAGAATATTGATGAGGAATAATTCCTCCAAGGCCTGGCCCCAAAAAGTTGTAAAGCTTCGAACTCGAGATATCTAATTTTTCTTTCAATATGATTGCTTATAGAGATATGAACACTAATTCAAATTTTAAGTGAATTGTTATCATTGAACCTTCATAATTTAGTTGCAAAAATGGGTCTATCTCTTGTTTATCGGGTCTCCTTCATCTTTTTTGGCAGCCTTAGAAAGAACATGTTGCATAATTAATTTTTTTGGAGTAGATATTTCTTTTATATTTTTTGTTATTAAATTAGCAATATAATATATAAATAAATATGTGGTTCTTGCTTGTAGTGGTTACATGTCTCCAGAATATGCAATGCATGGACAATTCTCTGTGAAGTCCGACGTGTTTAGTTTTGGTGTATTGGTACTGGAGATTATAAGTGGCAAGAAAAATAATACTTTCTATCAATCAGACGGAGCTGAGGACCTTCTGAGCTATGTGAGTGTAAACCCAATATCCAAAAAACACGTTATTTTTAAGTCAAAATCAATGGCGAATTACTCCGAAATAGTTAACATCAATGAAAATATGTTTGTAGGCTTGGCAACATT